TTTAACATATCAGATTAAAAATCAAAAAAAGAATATTATAAGGATTCTACAATTCAAAATTGTCAACGTTTTAAACTTTAGTGATCTGTAAATTCCAATTGAAAGTGTTTTTTACAGAAAGAAAAAAAATGAAACCAAATGGAGCGTACGCGACATGACAACTTTCAATATTTTCCCATTTAACATCATGACATTTTCTTTTATTTGAATTTCATTTCTTCAATTCCATCAAAAGACAATATTTTTCTCGCCTCTTTTGTAAAGTGCCTGTTTCACTTTAAGCGCGCGTTATAAATCAAGAATTCTTTGAGAGCCGAGAAGGTTTGTAATTTTATTTGCAAAATTTGTTGTTTTTATCATTTTCTGTTCGGAGAAATATCTGTTAAAATAAAAAAAATATATATATAATATACTTGAAGCAAATAAAGTATTACACATTTTGTAAAATAAAAGAAAAAACTTTACAGCTTTTTAATTATATATTTAAAAAAAAACAAAAAAAAAAAAATGTAAAGTAACGACAAAATTTGTCACTTTTCCTCGCGAAGAGTGAAGTCGCGCAAATCCGTGTGGTTTGACGAGGATTTGCGATTTCAGCTTATTTCCGTGAACAGAAGAACACACTTGGCACTGAAAAGTTAAACAGCTGCAGATTTTACGACTGACAAGCTTTTACGCGAGTCCGGTCAATTTTTATCACAATTCCGTAGCCAACAAAGCTTTATTAACAATATAATATGAGTCGTGAATGAAAATGAATTTTCCTTCAAATCTCAAAAAAAATATCTTTGGACTTTAAAATTTTACACACTTTTAAAATTGCATTGCTTTTAAAATTTTTATACTAATTCCGATTTACGGAATTATTATTCATTTAAATAATAATAATAATAAATTTATAAATTTTATTATTATTTTTACTAACTAATTATAGTTTATTAATTATAATTATTAGATAATTATTCATTAATGACATAAAATATTTTTTTAAAAAAATTGAAATAAAAATGGTACTTTAATGTATTTTTTTAAATTTAAATTAATAAATCGTTTTTTAAAATTTTCAAATAACAAATTTTTTTTTTTTGAAAAAAGTTTCACACGTAAAAATTGAATTATCAAATAAATACGATTATTCCATGAAATCTTCATTCTTACATAAGAAGAAGCCACAAAAAAATAACAGCAAATAGTTACAAAAGAAAATAATCCATGAATATCCAGATAATCCAGATAAACTACTTGCTCAATTTTTCCACTCATATATAATACAAAATCTTCATTTAACAAAAAAAAAAAAAAACTTTTAAAACCTTGAAAATTTTTTAAAATAGGTATAAAAAAAATTTAATATGATTTCAAGATTTTGCGATGTAAATTTACTATAGCTGAAGATGAAGGCATCTTTTCTGTTTTATTATTAGTCTATAAAAAAAAAAATGAAACGTGAGCCATTCAACGCTTTAGACTGACCTAGGCAATAATCTTGAATTTTTTTCTCAATAAAAAAAAAAGTCTAAATCATTTTTTTTCACTCTATTTCTTTCATCGTAAATTAAAAAATGCCAATTATTCTGCTTTTGACAAAAAAAAAAAAATTTATTTTCTCCCTACTTTTAGAAATATAATTATTTTTATTATACAAAATATAAACGAACTAATTTTATTTTTGTAATAAAATAAATAATCATATAATAAAATAGAAACGTAAAAATAAATTGAATAAAGTCGTCAAAAAAAATATATATACATATATATGCAAACTAAAAGTAGTCATAATCATTAAAAATAGAATAATAATAATAATAAAAAACATTAATAAAGTTATATATGAACTTTGCCACTAATCACAAAGAAATATAAATAAGGCTTAAATTTTTTTTTTTTACCTTAATTTTGTAATGGAAAAATTTGGCAATATTATGTGTAGAATCATAAAATTATTGTAATTAAAAATAATTATTCAAATTAAAATAATGATTTAATAAAAAAAAATTAAAGAAAAAACTTTTCATTACAAAAATAGTTCACATTTTTTTCAGAACAAAAAAGAAAATGATTGACAAATATAAATTTTCATTTAACTTTTATTGCATCGTAAATTTTGAAAAATTAAAAATTTAATAAAAAAAATTGCAAACGCTAATGTTAAAACAAAGTTTCTCATTGTTTATAGCCTGTAAAATATAATAGAAGTGTGATTTTTATGGTTTTAACCTATAAATATATATGTCGTCATATCTTAAAACGTACACGCGATGATGTTTTACAAATAATCGTGAAAAAAACTCAATAATTATAATAATCAATTTGAAAAAAATCAATTAAAAAAAAATGTTTTTATCAGAATCAAAAAAAAAAAAAAAAAAATACAGCATCATTGATTTTTTAATTTAGTAAAAAATTTATTTTATATCTCGATTCAATTGAACTATATAATCTATGTATATATATATAAAAAAAAGAAACTAAAATTTCCCACAGTCATGGAACCATAAAATGTGCTTACCCAAAGGGTGAAAATCTGATGAAGCGGAAGTGCTCTTCAAAAATGGCTAAATATCCTTTAGACTTTTTTCGATTTTTACATAGAAGAATAAATAAAATGCTAATAAAAATTATATTAAATTTATTTATTTACAAAAAAAAATAATTTAAATTTATTTACTTTAAAAATAAAAACAAAATTTTAATGAATTATAAATGTGGGGATATGAGATTTTTATTTAAAAACTTTTTTTTTGACTGGGATATTTTTTTCAGAATCTTTATTAAAAATTAAGAAAATATGTATTGGGATCTGACATGGGGGCGGGGCCTAAAGCAATATGGCGTAAATTGGGTAACACTTTTAGTGAATTTACATGGGAATAACATGGGATGCATGTTTAAAAATCGTTTTTAAAATCGTTTAAAAAATATTGCTTAATTTAATAAATGTATAAGTGAATTTTTTTAACACAAAATTACTATTTACATTCCTATTTACAAACATGAATAAAAATATAAAAGAAATCTTATTTTTATACAAATTATTTTCTCAAATCCAGCGATACATGTGCAAGAAAAATATTTTATTTTCCTTTATATTTCATGTAATTATATGAAAATTTATAAATGTATGTATTTCATTTTTCATTATGAAAGTCTGTTAACAAGAAGTGAAAAAAAAATTAATTTATCCGTTTTTACAGTGATAAATTAACTTTCAAAATGTTCACATGCACGGGTAATATGAAAGATTATATAACCTCCAAATTTTAAAATCTTAAACTTACATGGCAAAATGTAATCACTTCTTTTGAAATGCAGAGAACATACTCTCATAGAAGGCTTTATACTGTTTATTTTTAAAGCATTTTTCCAGGCCTTTAATTGATCGACTTTTTCAAAATTATCGAACGTATTTTTCACATCCACTACTCGTTGTTTTGGTTTCGGAAATTTATGGAAAATTACGCTTAAATTTTTCGCTACAGTACTGCCACAGCCTCTCACAGAACACTTAATTCTGCAGGAAGATTTCTCACGCGGTAAAAATGTAGCTTCATTCATAATAATAAAATAATTAACAATGACAGCGGAGCTACAATTGCAAGTGACGCAAATAGTTATCCAAAACTAGTTACATTTTTCAACACCAGATGGCATGTGTACGAATGTCAGATCCCAATTTGGGATAAATGGGGACAAGAAGTTTTGGAGCTTAATTTACAGTTTTAAAATTAAGTTCAACGTCAATATTTTAACCTCAGATCACCTGCAAGAGGTTTTGAGTATTGCCAAGCTTTTATCTTGACAATTGGCAGCAAGATAAAAAAAGTTATCGCTCAATGCATACAAAACTTGAAAATCAAAGTCAAACTGTTACAGTATTTTGTCGAGCATTTAAAAAAAAACAGAATTAAAAATCACACCAAATTTTTTTCTTATTCCTTATGACTCCCACAACAGAAATTCACTTGAATTTTTGATTTTTATCAATTTGGTTAATAATGACAAACTGTCCCCATTTACCCGGAGTTTTTAAATTTTTGGGGTAAATGGAGACAGCTTGTCATTATTAACCAAATTAACAAAAATCAAAAATTTAAGTGAATTTCTGTTATGGGAGGCATAAGGAATAAGAAAAAAATTTGGTATGATTTTTAAGTCTGTTTTTTTTAAATGCGAGACAAAATACTAAAATAAAAAAATTTCAATTGGTTCAACTATTATGTACCTAATATAAATTTTTTCAAGTTTTTTCTTCCCTTAATACAGTAATATACTTAAGGAAACTTTTTTCTTAAAACTTTCTTAGAAACTATGCTGTCCCCATTTACCCCAAATTTTAGGAAATTTTCTAAATTTTGGGGTAAATGGGGATAATTTTATGGATAAGTTTTGATTGGTTGATTTTAAAAATCGCGCCGAAATCTTTCTGTCGATTGTTTTTTCGGTCATTTGCAATTTCGGACAAATGAAAATTCTATCAATTAGAAATTCTATTAAATGATTTTTCGGTTAAGTAAAAATTCTGTAGTATAAAAAATCGGTTATATGGAAATTATATCAAATAATAATTTGAACAATGAAAATTAATTTGAAAGAAAATTTATATTCCGTAATATAGAAAATCGTTTTGATGAAAATTCTGCAAAATACTAATTCGAACAAATAAAAAATTCGGATCAAAAAATAATTATGACAAATAAAATTCCATAAAATGAAAATTCTTACTAATGATTTTTACAACATATTCATGCGTCAAATAAAGAAATAAAAAATACTTTTTTTTTCATATTTTTCATAAAGATTTCGAAAAAAAAAATTTAATAAAAATTTCTTATGGAAAGCCCCATTGTAAAAAAATATAATTCAATTAATTTATTTAAATAAAAAATTGAATTTATTTATTTGAATAAAAATATTGAATTGTAAAACAAATAATCTTCTTGTTTAAAAAAATTATTCTTTTTCTAACATTAGGAAAGGATATTCAAAAAAAAAGTCGAATATCAAAAACGGACTGCATTTTATTAAATTTCAGGCATTTTTAACATTTGTCGAATATTATTATGATCAAATTGTGTTAGAAAATAAAAAAGCAAAGTATGATATGTGAATTCCAGGTTTTTAATATATACATATATATATTGAACTTATTAACAAAATAACATAGCCATTAATAACATAATATATATGGCAACACGTCTTTTTTTCTGAATATACAATATATTTATGATTCATGCAAAATAGTCAGCTGAAAATAAATATTTCTATATTTACAATATTCACTCGAAATATACTCTCTCGTCTATCTCCATTAGAGCCAATCTCTCTCTCTTTTTTTTTCTCTCTGGTTATCTAGTTTATTTACAACTTTTCATAATCTCTCATCTAACAATGATTTTTTTTCTTTCTATAAAGTACATTTGACTAGGCTTAACTAGATTGGTCCTTGGGAGGGAACGACTTGGCAATAAGATAAAATTCACAAACTACAAATCAAAAGCTTTCCTCCAACAAAAAAAAAAAAATAAAATAAACATTTAAATAAAAGAAATTAGAAAAAATGAGGAAAAAAATATTTTTCTAATACAAATTTTTTGTCTTATTCATAATCGATTGCTTCTGCCTATAATAATATACGTATAAGTTGAAAGAAATTAGAGAAAAATAGATTTCTACATCAGTTTCATTCGGAAAATAAAGGAGCAACAGTCGTTGTTAATTTAGAGAAATATAGTTTTTTTTTTTTTTTTTTTTTTTTTTTTTTTTTTTTTTTTTTTGAAGGGAAGAACTTAATCGATAGTAAAGCTATGTGTAGCAGGCGATATCTTCCTGGCACACGATGGAACCATGTCAAATGGAACCATGTCAATAAATGACCTTGACTAGGATTTAATAGAACATTAGAAGTAAGTGGTTTTTCCTAAAAATATCGTGCGGCTCTGAGATGTTAAAAATCGAGGAGACACTTTGCTCTCTTTTTCTCTCTTTCCTCCTCAAGTCTTTACTCAGCTTTTTATTATTATTATTATGTATCTGAGCGTCGCGACGCTTCAAGATCCTGAGAGTTCAAAAATACCTTCCTAATATAGAGTTCATATGCGATCAAAATGTCGCAATTTTCACACCTGTTAATATGTACAAAATCTTTTCATCAAATTGCAAAATTTTATTTTAATTACAAATAGACGGAATTCCTAGGTATAATTAGATATATTACAAAAAAATCGAAAATAAAATTATAAATTCTCTACGATGTAAAAAAGAAATTTTTTTTTTTTTGAATAAGAAGAAATTATTGCCTAATGGGGAGGGGGGGAAATATTTTATACCTTTTGAAAAAAATTGCCATTTAGAGCAAAAATGTAATATTTAAAAAAGAAAGTTCAATTTTAAGAAAGAAAATTTAAGTTTTTTCCAAGAAGATTTGAATTTTAAAATAAAAATCCAAATTATGAAAAGAACATTTTTATTTAAATATAAGAAATCAATTTTAAAAAATAAGATTCTAATTTTTGACAGAAATTTAAATTTTTTTGAAGAAAATATAATTTTGAAAAGAATATTTAATTTCTAAATAATAATAATATTTGTGAACAAAATTTGTTTAACAAAAAAAATTAATTTTTTAAAATAACATTCGAATTAAAAAAAAAGAAATTCAATTTGTGAAAAGAAAATTTTTTGTTTCAGAAAAAGAATTCAATTTTAAGAAAGCAAAGTTCTAATTTTTTAAGAAAATTTAATTCTTGACAGAAAATTCAATTTGTGAAAAGAAAAAATTAATTTTGAGACAAAAATTCAATCTTTAGAAAAAAAAAGATCAATTTTTTGAAAAAAATTGAATTTTTTGAAGGAAACTTAATTTTTAACAAGAAGATTCTATTATATACCTAATTAATTATATAAAAGAAAAATTTTAATTTTCCGAGAAATTTGTCTTTTAATTGAAAATGATAATTCATTTTTTTTTTCAATTTTGAAATTTATAATCCAATTATTAATTGAAATTATAGGAATTATGAAAAAAAATGTCACTTTTGCAAAATTTACTAATAAAATTTCTTTTTTTTAAATTTTTATTCTTAACATGAAATCCGTAAAAAGACCATAAAAATCACTTTGAGAATATTATATTAACATTTATGCAGTTTACTTGTTATAAATATTATAATAAATTGAATAAATTTAATTTCAAGAAATGTCAAAATTTTGATTCTATAATTAAAAAAAATATTGTATGAAATACAATAGTTTTTGTTATATTTAGATTTCCTATTATAATAATAACGAAATTCTCTAGGCTGAATTTGAGAAAAAGTTTTTAACTTCAACACTAAGAAATTTTTTGACCCCAAATATATTTACAAAAAAGCCACTAAAAATCAAAAGATTTTGTTCACATATCCTAAATAGTAAATCGTTTAAGAACTCTTATATAAATAGAAAAAAAATTAATATATTTTCCATCAGTTGAAAATTGTCTTTAAATTCAACTTTATAAATATACCTACCTATAGTTTTCAAATAACAAGAAATCTCATTTGTTCCTAAAATCACCAAAACTTTCTATCGATTCATCAATAATCCTTAACTTTATAAATCAGCACCATTAATCTCACAATTTATTTGTAAATATAATAAATGAAGAAAATAAAATTCTTATCTAGATATAATAATAATTAAACACTAGATCACAATCTTGAACTAGGTTATAGAAAAAAAAAAAATCTCAACTTATTATCTCTTAAGAAAATAATATTTCAAATCAGATGAAAACAATATTTTCAATTTACGTTCCATCTGCAAAATCGCCCTTTAACTTTTTACCCAGCTTTCTCAATTTTTAACTTTTTAATTAATTAATAAAAATTACAGTATAAAGAAAGCTATGAAATTTGTAATTTTATTAATTTCAAAATTGTCAGTTTTTTAAATTTTGAAATTTCATTCAGAAACCATTATTTAAACTTTTTTTTTTACCAACGAATATTTTCTGTAAACTAATCAATTATCAATCGTAAAAATTTCAGGTAACGAAAGAAAACATATTTCGATTTTCATTCTCTTTGAAATATGTCCCTCGTCAAAGTTGATGAAAATTTCATAGATTTTAAAAATTATAGCAAGAGATAAAAATAATCTTTGTAATTTTTTAATTCAGAGAATTGTTTAATTTTCAAGAATTTTTTTTCTTCAGAAACAAAATTCTTGAACTTGAGATCATTATCATCATCATTATTATCATCATCCTGGTGGAGTGTTCTTTTGTTTGGTGAGTTCAAGGAGAATGGGAAAGTGCAAATCAGGACAGTATTCGTGATTATGCTCGAGTAGTTCCAAGTGTCGGGACCAAACTTTGGCATCGTAGTGTTCAGTTTGACGAGTTAGAAAACCACGTTTTAGGGCTGCTTCGGCGAATCTTTGGAATGTTGTCCCTCTTCTTGGAGCCATTACAAGAGCGATTCCATCTTCCGCCAACCATCCGTAAATTGTCTCCACTAGGTCAAGTCGAGCGTCATCAAAGAAAAGACAATCAGCACTCAAAATAATGTCATAAAGACCATCTGTCCTTCGTGATTCATCCACAGCCTCTGCATCCCAAGACTGTGTCAAAAATTACGATTCAAATTGACATATATACATAAATAATTATTTTAAAGTTGTTAAAATTTATCAATCTTCCAAGTCAATTCTAATATTTGAAAAAAGGAAAATAAAAAATAAAAAACGATCCCTTTTCTTAATGTTTCGACAGCACAGCAAATGAAAACCAAAAAACAAACTGTGTTTATAAAATTAAATGTAAGGATTGCTCTGCGAGCTATGTGGATGAATCAAAGAGAATGCTTGGTGTGAGAATTAATGAACATAAAAAAGCAAAAACAAATGTTATTGCGACACATAAACAAAGTATTAAGCACGATTTTGATTGGGATGGTTGTTCAATTCTCGACAATGAACAAAATTGCCCAAAAAGAGTCATCTCTGAAATGATACATATAGGGCTACAAAAGAAACATCTTAACAAAAAGAATGATATTAAAAATTTGAACAAAAACTATATAAACTTCTTTTCTAATTATAAATTCAAATAATAGAGTTTATTAATTTACTTTTCATAGATGAGTTTCTATCAATACAATTACACTTGAAACGTCATAATCTGTATACAACTACGACGAGTTCAATGACCTAAGAATGTACAACTACCTTTTCGTTTGTCAAATCCGTATTATATGAAAAATTGTTTGTGATTTTGTTTGTCAGTGAACACTGAACAGAAGTCACAGACTTTTTTTCGGTAATATTCAAAATTTTATAAATTAATTAACTATAGTAATTGTAAATTATTGTTATTTTAATATTTTTTTAATAAAAAAAACAATTTTTTTAGTTTCTGATGAGGACAGCTGTGCTGTCGAAACGTTAAGAAAAGGGATCGTTTTTTATTTTCCTTTTTTCAAATATTACAATTTACTTGGAAGATTGATAAATTTTAACGACTTTAATATACACTCACCAAGTGATAAATTCAATATTATTGAAATAAATAATTATTATTTCACACCTTAGTAACAGAAAAAAAAAAAAATAAATCCAATTTTTCGGAATGTCAGACTTTTATCTTCAATTTCCAGTTGTATCAAAAATTAAATAAATAAAAAATTTATATACTTCTTCTATTTTTATATTCTATATAAAATGTATAGTTACATTGTTCCAATTTTGTATCATATCACATCACTGACATGACAATGAAAATTTAATGGAATTATCAGAAAAATTTTAAGGAACTACCATGGAAATTCTTAAAAATTTTATGAAACTTATTCTAGAAAACTAGTATTTGACATAATTTCTTAAACGAATTTTTACTTTACATCATTTTTATGTATCGAATTTTAATTTTGGTAAAATTTTTATTTTACAGTATTTCTCTTTACACAATTTTTTTTTTTTTATTTAAACGAATTCTAATTTGACAAAAATTAAATTTACAAGAACGTTCATTAAATCAAATTTTTAAGTGATTCAAATTTTTAAATGACAAAATTTTTGCTAATTTTACGCAGCGCCATTATTTTTACAAAAAAAAAAATTATGATAGAAAATTTCGATAGAAAATAAAGAATTCTAGTTTTCTTATAAAAAAAAATAATTCTTTAAAAATTCAAAAATTACTTAAAGCATGCCTATAAAAAGTATTCTAGAAAATAATTACTCTAATCTGAAAATTGAAAAAAGTGCTGTTCTTTGAAATTTAAGGCGAGGGACCGCTGAAATTTCGAGGCGCATGATTATGTTCTAGAAATCATTAGTTAGAATTTTCATTTTATGAAATTTCAATTGTCATATGTAATTATTTTTAAACCGAATTTTTATTTTTTCGAATTAGTATTTTGCAGAATTTCATTGCATAGAATATTCTTAGAGATGGATTTTCATTTGTTCGAGTTATTATTTGATATAATTTTCATATAACCGATTTTTCATACAACAGAATTTTTTACTTAACCGAAAAGTCATTTAACAGAATTTCTAATTAATAGAATTTTCATTTGTCCGAAATTGCAAATGACCGAAACAAACAATCTATAGAAAGATTTTGGCGCGATTTTTAAAATCAACCAATCAAAAATTATCCATAAAATTGTGACGAAGCTGAAATACGCAACGTTTATGATAAACGATTTTTAAAGAAATAATTTTTTAAAACGAAACATTCTATTATTATTTGCCTAAAAAATATTTTTTTATAATTTGTTGATTAATAAAAACTAGAAGAAATATTTTTTAGGCAAAAAATTATAGAATTTTTTATTTTAAAAAATTATTTCTTTAAAAATCGTTTATTATAAACGTTGCGTACTTCAGCTTTGTAAAATTGTGAATGGTTGATTTTTAAAATCGCGCCGAATCTTTCTGTTGATTTTTTATTTCGGCCATTTGCAATTTCGGACAAATGAAAATTCTATCAATTAGAAATTCTGTTAAATGACTATTCGGTTAAGTAAAAAATTCTGTTGTATGAAAAATCGGTTATATGAAAATTATATCAAATAATAACTCGAATAAATGAAAATCCATCTGTAAGAATATTCTATGCAATGAAATTCTACCCAATAAAAATTCTTAAAAACGTCTATTATGTTAAATGAAAATTCTGATTATTTTTTATCGGTAATTTTTTTGTAGGCTTTTTTCATGATTTTTAACAATCAATCGTATAAATTTTTAAAAATTTTAATATTTTCAAAAAATAAAATTTCTATAATGGTCAACAATTTTTTTTCTTCAATATTGATAATTCACAATAATTTTAGATCCCAAATAATGCCAGAAAAAAATTGACACCCTTTAACAACATTAATTTCGATGAGTTGAAATTTCACCGGTCCCTGTCTTTAAAAAAAATTGCAAATTTTACAAATTTAGAGTCCTAAATTATAATTAATGAAAATCATATTAATTAAAATTTATATTTTAAAGAATTTTACAAAAAAAAAACCTCCATGAAGTTGGCGTCGACGCTCAGCGTCGAAAACGGTTTTTGACAGGACTAAAAATGTCAAGTTATTTTTTTAAAAGATTTTCGATCCAAATAATGCCTTGAGAAATACTTTTCAAGGTATTATGTGGACCCAAAACTTTTTTAAAAATGATTTGATACTTTTGGTCCCGTGAAAAATATTTTTTGACGCTAAGCGTCGTCGCCAACTTCATGAAGGTGAAAAAAAATTAAATTTTAGGTGAATTATCATTTTTTGTATTAAAATTTGACAAAATTCGGACAAATGAAGATTCTGGCATTATAAAAATTTGAATCACTTAGAATTCTGTTGAAAGAGAATTCTGATAAATTAATATTTCATTAAATTAGAAATTTTTTAAAATTCAAAGTTAGTAAAGTGAAATTCTGTAAAATGAAAATTCTGTTTAATAAAAATTTGAAACTAAAAAATGTATATTTCTGAAAATTGAATTTTATTAAGTGATTTTAGAAATTTTGCTGAAGAGAAATTCAATAATTACTAAATCAATGTCATAACAATTTCTACTAGTCTAATGTACGGAAATATTCATCTCCGAATGTTATCAAAATTTTATGGAATTATTAAAACAAGTTTTTATTCTATAAAATTAAATCCTTTCAAATTTCTGTAAATTCTTAAAAAAAAAAATTGTCTTTTAAATAATTTTTAGAGACCAAATTTCGGATAACGAAAAATAAAATTATTTTGCAATTCTAAATTCAAAATTTTATATATATACCTAAACAATTTCATTTTATAATTTTCGGAAATTTCGTTTTTAGTCCAAGATTACATAAAGGGTCTACCCTTTAGAGAATACATAATATTTATAATACAAAAACTGTCGCCTTATCTTTAACAACAAAAACAAGAACTGACTTTCATTTACATAGTATAATATGATGGTTGAACCTTTTTGTCCAAAAAAAATTTCCTCATTTTTGTTTATTATAAAATAATATAATTATTTGAAAAAAAAAAATTTTTGAGCAATGATTTGACATTTAGGTCAATGTTGAAAGAATTGTATATCCTTTAATTCCAACGATTTTTAAAGAAATAAATTTTTATAATGAAAAATTTTTTATAATTTTTTGCTTGAAAAATATTTCTTGTAGTTTTTTTATTAATCAAGAAATTTTAAAAAAAATATTTTTTTAGGTAAACAATTTTGTAATTGTATTAAATAAAAATTGATTTCTAATCGTTGATCATAAACGGTTGCGTACTTCAGCATCGTAAATGCGGATAATTTCTGCGAAAATAAAATTGAATAATAATAAAAAAAAATAATAATTCTTTATTTATAGTTAATTAAATTAAATAATAATAATAATTGTACTCAGTAGCATGTTTAAATAATAAATATGAATTTAATTGTAAAATAATTGTAGATTAAATGTGGAAAGGATGAATATTATCAAATTACATACAAAATAACAATTCTAATTAAAATTTTCTATTATCATTAAATTTGAAACAAGTATATAACCATTTAAAGCTGTATAATATACTTTCAATTATAGCTTCCCAAATTAAACAACAGAATCGTTTACCGCAAATGGAAATATGCAAACGCATAGTTAAAATTTCCTTCTTAACTTCCAATTCTACTTTCATTACAAAAATTAATTAAATTTCACAGTATATACACTTTCATATGTAAAATATCTTTTAACTTCTATTTATTTTATGAAAATTTCCCATCTTTTTATATATATCTTTCGAAAATGTAAAACATTTTATTTTTAATATACCTAAATATTTTCATTTTGAATCAGTATTTTTCTCAATTTACTAATAAATAAAACGAGATTTGAAAATTATAATAACAATTTAATTTATATCATTTATCATTAAATTTAACATTAAATAATATTTAATATAATATTTTAATATTGTCATAATTATTCTATAATTTCAAATCATAATTTTTTTTCATTTTTTAAGAACCTTGAATATTTTTAAACATTTACTATAGTATAAAAAATAAAATTTTAAAGTAAATTTTTTTTTCCTTTTAGAAATTAATTTCAAGTATTTTATAATACCGGAAGTGGGTGCAGTTAG